GATCCCATCCCCTCACTCCTGGCTTTCTGTGCCAGCCTTTGGACTTATCTTTTGCTTGTAGTACTGCCTTGGTATTCTTACCTCAAGCCTGGCTAGGAAGCACTGAGCCTTATGGTTATAAACATGCAAGAAATCAGACATCAGAGTCAACACTGTTCGCTTCAAAGGTCATATACATCTATGCACCATTTAGTATTGATTCTCTGTAGCTCTCCCTTATATCCCAGCTGGACTGAAACTCCTGAGGCAGGGCCTTGTGTACCCCTTTGTATTCATGACTTCCAATTCTCCACAACACTCCTGGCTTAGACACTCAGCTGGATTTTCACAGTCAAGCAGAAAATGTTGACAACTTGAATGTTGAATCATCAATTGAAGCATTGTAGTTTTGAGGATCTTAGAACGTTTTCTGAAATATACTACACCCTAAAGTCAAGAATTTGATAGCACTGGCATTAACAGATGTATTTAAGGTGAGTTTTTTCTTACCCTACTAAAGTTGCCAGTAATTCTTAAACCTTCTCTTGCTTAAAACGCAATCATATGGAAAATTTCCAAATAGCACAGTACCTACTATGAGTAGGCTTGAAATACAGTATCTTCTAGATTAATTTAATCTGTAGCCACTACTCAATCTTTTTTTTTTTTTTCCTTTCTTTTTTTTGAGACAGAGTTTCGCTGTTATTACCCAGGCTGGAGTGCAATGGCTCGATCTCGGCTCACCGCAACATCCGCCTCCTCGATTCAAGCAATTCTCCTGCCTTAGCCTCCCGAGTAACTGGGACTACAGGCACGCGCCACCATGCCCAGCTAATTTTTATATTTTTAGTAGAGACGGTGTTTCACCATGTTGACCAAGATGGTCTCGATCTCTTGACCTCGTGATCCACCCACCTTGGCCTCCCAAAGTGCTGGGATTATAGGCGTGAGCCACCATGCCCGGCCACCACTACTCAATCTTAAAAAACTAGGCCATTATGCCATTGTGATATGAGATTTGGGCAGTTATCAAATCCCTTTAAATAGCTTAAGAACTTAGCCAAAACTCCCTTAACTTATAATTTTGAAAAAATAATATGGTTTAGTTTTCAGGACCAAGCTTATTGCCTATGAGCATATTCTGGATAATATTCTGAGTAACTTTGTTTTCCTGTTTAAAAATTTATTTCACAGTATTTTCACATTGGTTTTTCAAAAATTATTTTGACTGTAACATCCACAGCAAGCTAATATTCAAGGCAATAAGCAGGAGATAGTATTGGAGGCCTTGTTTACATTTTAGAATATATTTGAAATAAAATACTGCTGTGTTGTGGGAGGCAGAAGATAGTCTTTCCCTGTAAAGTAATTCAGAACATTCAGAAGTGCCTAGAGTGGGAGTGTGTTTCACAGGCTGCCAGGGTTGTCTGAGCTCTTACCCGTCAGTGGAGGCATGGCTGGGCACCTGCAGGAGGGGAGGCCTTCTCGCCTCTCTCCTGTCTTTCTGACTCTGCTAGTGGGTATCTCCTTGCCAACTCTCTCTCCTGTCTGCCTGCCGTGTTACTTTCTGCTGCTCTCCCCTCTAGTTCTCTATCTGGTCTTCTCATGTTAATCTTGGGCTTCCTGGGAGGTAAAGGAAGGATGAGTTGATGATGCATGTCAAACTAGGAGGCCGAACTCTGAATACTCACATATTCAGTATTGGTGCGTGTAGAAAAGGAAGGACTCATGTGGGCCCCTGCAACTCCTCCTCTATTCAGGGCAGGTGACAGAGGAGCAGCAAGTGTGCTTCTAGAGGTTACATTACTTTCTCAGTCAAGTTTTATTCTTAGTTTAGACAATGTTTTGTGTGTGGTAAGTCTTACTTTAAACTTAACTGAATGTGTTCAGGGGCAGGGCACACAGGTCAATGTGGGAAGCAGTAAAGATGTGAGGCTTCAGAATTCAACTCTACCTAGAAAGGGGTTCAGATTTTAAATGTTCCATCCAAATGGAAAGGAATCCCTGCAGGAAATCCCTGGCTAAGAAAGGCTGCTCTTGTTAGTGGTATATAGTATAATACAGTCTATCATTTAAACACATCTGAAATTGAACGGTGTCTTCTAGTTGATGATGTACATAGTTTACATCATCAAATAATCATGCATCCCAGTGGCTCAAATAATTATACATCTCAGTGAGTGGCGATGAGATGAAGAGATTAGCTGAAATTTAGGAAGCAGGCTAACAGAGCCCACTGACGCTGCTAAGAGGACAGAGGAAGAGGAGCCCTTCAAGTATTCCAGGCCATCAGCCTCAGCAGAGATGGAAGAGAGAGTCCACATGGACCCCACACTTGAGCTCAGGGACGTTACAGTGGCTGTGTCCAGTGGCCACCTAAAACTCCAGAGGAGATGGAATAGAGAGTCCACTTGGACCCCACACTTGAGGGCAGGGAACTCACAGGGGCTGTGTTCAGTGGCCACGCATCTGAAAGCTGCCCCTGGGCAACTCTCTACTTCTACTGTCAGACGAAATTGCCTCATTTCATTCTCTGTGTTCATTCAGAGTTGTAAATCAAGGAGGGAAGTAAACATTAATAGAAATTATTTTCCCCCAGTTGACATTCAGAAAGGGTATTTTTAGGCTAAAGAAAAGCTCAGGTTTTCACCAAACCTCTAACTCCAATCTCCTTTCTGAAACCATTTTTCACTTGCTTTCTCCTCTCACCCATATTATGTTTAAGTTAGCAGTCAAAGAAGTTTGATTTTTTTCAAGTTTCAGAATACACAGACATTTTAAAAAATTAGATGGCATTTTAAAAAGTTATGTGAGTGACAGGACTAAGCCAACATCTAAAGTTTTAAAATTTCAAGAAAAAAATTTCAACTGTGCAGGTCTCAATACAGCAAAGGAATTTTGCTTGAGTCTTGATGCTCGGTGCTTTGTAAATGAGTCCACCCCTGCCTTCACTCACCCCCAGATCACAGATTTAAAGGTACAGAACAAAACTGCCACAGGCTCTGGAGAAATTCTAAGCCAAGGTGGTTGACCTTGGATGGCCAGTGCTGCCCCTTTCAGGTTCCTCCTCCCATTTCTTGGCACTCCCTCTTCTCTTTCCGTGCAGTTCTACTGTGCTTCCTTCCCATTGTCAAAAGAACACATCCCAGCTCTCGCAAACTTCCTCTACAGGTTTTTAATTACTGAGGTCTAGGCGGGGCTTGATATTCAAAATACTGAACAACACACAGGCAGGGCACTAAGCCATTGGAAGAGCTGCCCACCACAGCTTGGGAACAAGGCCCTGGAGGAACTGGCCTCGGTCACCTACCCCCTTTAATTGGTCTGTTGTGGGAAGGTCCAGGGGGTCTCTGAAGTCGGGCTTATGTGGCAGGATGGCATTGAGGAAGGTCAGGGCAGCAGCTATTTATCATTCGGTACAGAAGTATATAAATATTTTACTAAGTATACAGCCACAATGGCACCTACAGACAATGTCAGTTATACTCACTAGGAATAGGTAGTAGCTGCCTGAAGTACTGTAGTGAGAATTCTAAAATTATATTCAGGCTCAGTGGGAAAATACAACAAAAATAGCACCATCAATTATTGCTTTCTGGCAAGGGTGGTGGAGGGAAGTGAGAAATTTCTGCCTAAGTGATGGATGAGGATCTGTGATTTCTGCCTGGGTGGTGATGGGGAAGCAAGGGCATGCAAACCACAAAGTTGCAATCCTAGTGAACAAGCCTGCTAGGATCCTAAGAGAGACCTATTAGCATTGCGGGAGAAGGTTCACCAAAGGAACAAGCAAGACTGAAGATACTGTAGTGGGTTAAATAGCATCCTCCACATATTAATGCCCACCCAGAAACTGACCTAATCTGGAAATGGGGTCTTTGCAGATGTCATTAGTTAAGGATGAAAATAAGATCATAGTAGATTAGGATGGGCCCTAAATCCAGTAAGAGTGTTCTTGTAAGAGACAAAAGAGGACCCACAGAGAGAGACACAGAGAAGGCTATGTGAAAGCAGAGACTGGAGTTACACTAACACAAACCAAGGAATTCTAAGTGCCAGGAGGAGCTGGAAGAGGCAGGGAAAGATACTCCTCTAGAGCTTTTGAGGGAGTATGGCCCTACTGACACCTTGATTTCAGACTTCAGGCCTCCAGAACTGTGAATAAACAAATTTCTGTTGTTTTAAAGCCACCAACTTAGTGGTTCCTTGTTATAGTTTAGTTTCCCTCGGAAACTAAAAGACTCAAATAAACTAAAAGCTAATGGTGGGATTTAGGCTAGTGGGGAGCTTAATTTTGGGGGGATCATAGCATGTGTATCTTTCCTACATTATAACCTCCCGTGATTGTGGCATAATTGATTTCTCTATTACGCTAGGGTCCTGGTAGAAGGTGATATCTCCACCTCATTCACGTCTTCAGTGAATGAGGTGGAGATCCCCCTGTGCCCCAACCCCCTTCAGCATCCCTCTCCCATCTCAAGGCACAGACTGCAGAGCACTGTGGCCAGAGTTATTCTTCTGGCATTTCCAGTAGGTGAGGAATTGGGGAACAGATCTCTTTATGCCAAGGCTTTAAGAACAGATATGCCAAGGAAGAGGTTTGAGACTCTATCAAGGCATATGCATAGCCAATGGATGATTTAAAATTATCTCAATCCTGCAATGAACAAAAAATTATTGGAGCAGTAACTATAATAATAATTATTATGATTACAATTATTTTGAGACAACTTTGCACTCTGTCACCAGGGCTGGAATGCAGTGGCATGATCTCAGCTCACTGCAACCTCCACCTCCCAAGTTCAAGCAATTTTCCTGCCTCAGCCTCCCAAGTAGCTAGGATTACAGGTGCCTGCCACCACACTCAGCTAACTTTGTTTTTGGATTACAGTAGAGATGTGGTTTTGCCATGTTGGCTAGGCTGGTCTCGAACTCCTGGCCTCAAGTGATCCGCCTACCTTGGCTTCCCAAAGTACAGGCATGAGACACAGCACCTGGCCAGTAACTATAATTAAAATGTGTACCTGAAGTGCCAAACTCTCCGGCCAGTTGACTATTTGCAAATTGAAAATCTGTCCAAAGTGAACTCGGAAGTCTGCTCCTAGTGGCCGAGTGACTGTCCTGGACACCTCCTTGTTGTTGAAGAGCACTTTTAAGTACAATGAGCGCTTCTTTACATCTTCCCTTCTCAAGACCTCTGCTCTGCAAAAGGAGACCATTCACAGGTGGAGTTAGTAATAATTTACTAAGGATCACCAAAATATATGATAAATAAGCACTGAACAGAACAAGACACACTGCAGGCAACTCTCCTCATCATGTCAGCCCTCATTTAACCAGAAGAGCCACAGGTCTTGCAGAGTAATATGGAATTTATGGAGAAGCTATTAACAGACACTGAGAAGGGCACAGAGGATTTAAGACCTAGAGTCCTTGCATTGTTGTGCTACAGTCTCCTCAACAAGCTTTATATTTACAACAAGCTTTATATTTTCAACAAGCTTTCTATTTACATACTTAAAACCCAAAGTTTTAAATACACATATTCCTTGTTAAATGGAATAAGTTGAAGACATAGGGGATAATAATTTATATTTGGGTAAGAAGTTTTATTCTAAAAATATAGCAGCATATTGTAGCAGTTAGATCAAGTTCACTTTTCCAAGATCCCAAGTGTTTCTCAACACTTTCAAATAAGTGAATGTGGAATGGATGCAGGCTATTAAGAAATGTTTCTTATTTTTAAAGATAATCTGAATCACAATAAAAGCTGTCCTGGTACCTTGAAGGAATTGAAACATATTCTTATAGTCAGAAAGTTAAATAATCTCCCGTGGGTTTTTAATTTCATTGCACATATTTGTAGAGACGTCCACCCAAAAATGCCAGTTATTGGTTAAGTCAATAGCAATTCAAGCTTATTGAGGAAACAAAAAGGTTAGGGCATCAAAATCTGATCCAAGCTCAAGTTTTTTTGGGGGGGGGTGGTAATTTATTAAAAATTGCTCCATTGTGGTAAAATATATATAACATAATGTTTATCACCTTAACCATTTTTAAGTGTATGGTTCAGGGGCATTATGTACAATTACCGTGTTATGTAACCATCACCACTGTCCATCTTCAGAACTGTTTCATTATGCCAAACAGAAATTCTGTACTCATTAAAAGGGGTGGTAGTTTTAACTCTTTACATCTCTATAATTTAGACTTATCCTAGACATGAAATAGCTCAAATTACTTCAGTATTTTTTAAATAAAGGACATTTCACACCAAATTTGCAAGAAGTATCCACAATACCCAAGACTCAGACTCTGCTCATAAAAGATTACCAAATCAAGCCCAAATTTTTCTTTTAGAAAGCATGCTCTGTCATCACATATTTTGAATGTTCATGTTAAAATTATATGGTACAGTATTTGTACCTTGAAAATGGCTTACATAGTGCTGGGGAATAGTTTATATAGAACATCTTGAGATGTGAAGGTGAGAAAACACATGAAAATGCATAAAAAAGCTGTAACTTAAAAATAAATCAATCATTAGTACATTAACAGAAGTTTGAAACCAAGAAGACTGTGAAAAGTCTTATAATGACATCCTAATTAACTCCCACATTTCAATGAACTCAGAGGCTGACTGACTTCATATGAATTCTCATTTTTCATGTTGAGATATTGAAGATTTCAGTGTACAATAGTCCCTGTATTCACAATAGATCTTCTATTTACTGAAGAATTAAGCCTGGGATTTTGTGGTATCGATGAATTTAACGGACTCCCTTTAATTATGATATACCATAACATGCATCAGAATCACTTGGAGACCTTGTGAGAACAGTTTTCTCAGCCCCACCTCAGAGTTTCTGGTTCAGTGAGTCTCAAGTAGAACTTGCGAGTTTGCATTTCTTTCTTTTTTTTAATTGTTCTTAAAATTTCTGTTCAGTTGGTTGCCTTTAAACAATTGTCTGGCAAATTTTTATTAATCTTTCTTAAACATATTTATTTCAATGTGAGATATTAAAAATGTTTGGAGTTTTATGTATTCATTCAATAGAGGGGAGATCTCACTTTGTTGCCCAGGCTGGTCTCCAACTCCTGACCTCAGGCAATCCTCCCACCTCAGATTCCCCAAGTGCTGAGGTTACAGGCATAAGCCACCATGCTTGGCTGAGTTAATGTTTCTAACGAGTCCTCAGTGATGCTGATGCTGCTGATTCCAGGACTATACTTTGAGAACCATGGCTATACAATGATGGAAAGAATAAATAGGAAACATAAAAATATTTCTATTACATTATAATTTTTAAAAAGATGAACTTATAAATATATGTTTATGAATGTGTTATATGTACAAATGTATATAAATCAAGTAATGGTTCTCTTAGGCATCAAGTAAGAATGAGTAGACATGTATTTTTATCAAATCTGGAGGGTAAGCTTCAGATGGCCTCACTTAAATACAAGCTATAGGGCACACCCACAACTTTTTTGGGGGTTTTCAAAGAGAGAGGCTGATCCTTGGACCAGTCGAAATCAAGAGGCAAGATTCTGCCTGTGCCAGAAGGTTGGGACATGCTACCAGTGGACAGATGGACTCATTGAGGTTATAGATAAGGGACTGAAATCAAAAGACTTAGAGACAGCCACTGTGAAGAGCAGGCAGAGATTTGCAACTGGGATGCTTCTCCTACAGGCAGCTTTCCAGTGTGCTCCTCAACAGCCAGTGTGGATGCATGAGGTAGGTGAATCATATGAAATCACCTAAAGTAGGCAAATGTAAGCAACTTCATGTGGTTCAACCGAATATTTATTCAGCATTAATGGTTTTCCTGATGCTAGTGTAGGTCAGTAAGTGTGCATGTGTGTGTGCTTGTGTCCACGTGAGCCTGTGTGTCAGATGTCAGCCTCATTTACGGTCAGAACATCCACTCACCTGGGGCACTGGTTGTTGGGTGTTATGCTCCCTGCCAGGCTTAGCTCTGGGACCAGCATGGGCTCCCCAGGCCTCCTCCTGCTCTGGGTTGCTCTCTCCCTCACCTCCTGCTCTATCACTGCTCGATCAATGGGCTCCGGAGGGATAGGTTTCACAAGGTCTTCCTCAGGATACGGTTCCTCAGTCTCATCATCGGGATGTTCTTCTGCTGCTTGTTTTCTTTTCTTCTTCTTGGCCCTCTGTTGGGTTAGAGGCAACATGACATCAAGCAGGAATTTTGGAATTTCATTGAAGAGCACAGTCTTCAGAGCCAGATGGACCTGGATGCAAACCCCAGCCCCATTTCAACCAGATGTGTGTAATCAGGCAGGCCACTAAGCCACCTGACCTCTCTGTGCCTCGGTTTTTTTCATCTAAAGAATGGAGCCCAGGAAATTTCTCCCAGGGCTGTTGAAATGAGACTGTTCAAATACCTAAAAAGCGTTTATCATCCAGCCTAGTCCCTAGAAAGAGCTTAAAAAAAGGTAGGTATTCATGTGATCTTTAATTTTGGTTTTCAAGGCTAAGGACACATCTTGAGATATTAAAATAAGGCATGTAAGCACAACTAGGTTTGCAGGGACCCCTGATCTATTATTTGTTGCCCTTGAACTCAGTTTTATAGGGTCATGTACATAAAGTTACATAATTTTCTAAAGAAAACTCAGAAGCATCAATCCCTACATTTAATGGAATAATGCATGTAAAATAGTACAGTACTGGACACATGCATTGTGATTACTACATTATTCCTTAAATAGTCACAGAGTGGTATTATAGTATTCTCTATGGACAAAGCTGGCTCTGCTATCAGTTAGCTGGGTGGCCCTTAAGCAAATGCATTAACCAGTCAATTCATTCATCCTTTTATCCCTTAACCAGGGGACAGGGGAGAGACAGGGGGAGCCACAGGAGACCCTAGTCTGCCAGTCTGGTTTCCCCTGTCCTGTACTGGAGGCTGCCATCCCAGATGCTTCCTGGCTAGCCTTATTCCAGGCTGAGCATTTGTTTACACACTTGTGCTTTCCTCCAGGCCTTCCACTGCTGCAACGATGTTCTGTACTCTTCCATCTTCTGTGCGTACTCTTCCGTGTGCTCTTCCAACAGTTCACTTATTTCAACTTGAATTTCCACTTCATATGCTTCTTCATCTGCTTTCTGGTCAACTTTTTCCCTTGAAAAAATTTGTAGTCCCTTGGTTATTTCTGGAAATTAAGTAAGAGAGCAATAATAACAGCAAATACTTATATTCGGCTTGCCACGTGCCAGCTCCTCTTCTAAAAATGTGGCATATTAACTTGCAATCCTGTGAGGCAGTTGCTATTATTATCTACATCTTACACATGAGGTGACAGAGGCACATAGAAGTTAAGTAAGTTACCAAAGAACACACAGTTGGTGAGTGGACGAGCTGAATATGAGCCCTACCCACTGAACAGGAAGCAGCCATGTGGTGTGCTGACACAGGGCCTGTAAGCTCTCCACCGATGGTGGAAATTTCATTAGTTATTTTATTACTTCTCTGAGGAACTGCTTCATTTTGTTGCCACTGAGTCATGAAACCACCTTTTTGACTTCGGATGGAGGATTTGGGGTTTTTCTTTGAGGATTTTGCTTACATTCCACCAGGAGATCAGCCAGCTTAAACCACTGTTTCCCATGGTGTGTTCTCTAGGACATTAGTTCTGTGAGATGTCCCACCAAGAAAAGATATTGTGGCCATATCAACACTGGATTATATAAGTGCAAAAGGTTCCTTGCTGGTCATCTTTTCAGAGCCCTTAACATGTTGATGAACAGCATGGCTCTCCTGGTGGGTGGCAGCAAATGTGTGGTGACTGCATCCAGCCCACCCAGCACTTTGGAGATGGTGATGCATACTGACTGCGCTCTTTCCCCCAGGGGAGTTAAGCCTCCAAGTTCTATGCTCCTAAAGCTTCCTAATCCATTTAAAATAAACCTAGTCAAGTGCATAGAGCTGACAAATGTTTGCTTGTGGGCACATGTTGCCTGGGGTTTAAGCAGTTTACAGTCCTCCAGGGCACAAGCTCTTTTAGCTGTCTAGGATGACTATCAAATAAATCACTTTGGATATACAGTGGTACCCAAAATTTATAAACAGAAGGTGGAATTTGGCCTCAAAATTATGTTCCATCTCTGATATACAGAAAACCATTCACTTTTCTTACTGCTATTCAAAAGCACAAAAATGTTGAATAATTTTCCTGTAGGAAAAACTATTCTTTATCATAAGGGAATCAAGAATGTGAAAAAAAAGGTACTCCAAAAGAATTTGGAAGACAGCTACTTATCAGGGGAAGGAGTGTTATGACCATATGGGTAAAATGCCTATAAATTTAGTTTACCCTATAAACTTAAAAAGAAGAAAGGGAGGGATGGAGGGAGAGTTAGCAAGAGGGATGATGGGAGGGAGGGAGAGAGAAAATAATCTGGCAAGGATTTCTGTACTGCTTCTGTGGGAGGCTCGGCCTAACAGATAGAATTTGAAAGCACAAACTCTGATATTTCTGGGAGACAGCCATTATTTCTGTGGGGTAGCATATTTGAATTTATTTTTTGTTAACAATATTAACTGAGCAGATGCTAAGTGGCAGGTGCTCTGGTAGGGACCAGATATACATTGACAACAGGATCCCTGCTCTCAAAGATCACACAGTCTTATACTTGTCCTGAAAACTAACCTTTTTTTTTTTCAATTTTATAATTACAGCCAAAGAAAAATCACAATTTGCAGCTATCTTTGGCTGAAATATAGCTGTTTTCAAAGCAATATGTCAGATAACTGCCGAAATTTCTTACTATTTGTGTCAGTATATGGGCACAACTTATGGAATATGTTTGGAATCAGCATGTAAAGTTGAAATGAAATCTTAAGCACATATACCCTGAGACAAGCACAAAAATGCTTACAGAAGTAGTTTCTGTAACAGTTGAAAAATGGAATAAACTCAAATTCCCATTAACAGAACAAGTTTGCCTATATTCATATAATGAAGTAGTATAAAGCAAAGAAATCTACAGATATGTGCTGTTAAGTAGATGAATCTCACAAACACAGTACTGAAGAAAAGAAGCAAGTATGTATCCACTAACGAATACACGCAACATATGTTCAGGTATGTGATAGTCAAAATTACAGGCAATATTAAACTATATTCTTAGAGATTGCACCTAGTTGGCAAAACTATAAAAGCAAGAAAACAACGATCAAAAAAGTCCAGGTAGTTTTTTAGGGATTGAGCGGGATGCTATTTGGGAAGGGCTGCTCAGGTACACAATGTTTTATTTCTTAACCTGGGAAATGGTTACATGCATATTTATTTGTAATTATTTTTAAAACTGTATGCATGTTTTATACATTTTTCTTAATGTATGCTATAGCCCAATAAAATAATTTTTCAAAAAAGCCTACTTTTTCAAAACAAGTTTCAAGGGAGTATTCGTAAATCTCTGGAACTCTCGAAGGGATTTCATCTCTTTCCAAACTTTTATGATGGTCTTAAGCAATGTCCGGTCTTTTTCTTGTTCAGCGTCACGCAATTTTCTTGTTTGTCTACAAGATAGAATAGCACATGAGTATATATTAAAAATTCAGGTAGGTGTGTTTGTTTGCAAAAGAAATTAATAATGCTACAGTGATTGCATATTCAATTTGCTAGCTACTTCTGAAACAAGCAGAGAAGACTAAATACAAATGCATATTTAAAGACAATAGGATGTCAAACTGTTTTGAGAGGTTTACTTGATTTTATTCTCTTTAGGCAGCTCTGACTTTAATTAAAATAAAGTACTTTAAAAATTCTTATTAAAACTATGCATCTTCCAACAAATAGACACCTTTGAAGTTAAGAAAATAAAGGCAGTTCTCATGGACTAAATTATTATGAACACAGCAAAATACGCTGCTGTCCTAGTTAGCAACAAATACATTTAAAGCCTTTCTGTGTTAACACACATCACCAGATCCACACTGAGCAGACATTGTTATTGCATGCCTTGGAGATTTTCAATATTCATTAGATTACCAATATTTTTGTCTTAATCTGAAGAGGCATCATTTGAAAATGCTTTCATCTTTATTTTATTTAATAACTTACTTTAAGTTCTCTTTACAAATGATAGCTGTATTTAGATCCCAAATGCATTTTATTGCATAATGAGACAATTATTAAATTTTTAAACAAGTGCCATGGGTCATTCCAGGGGATTTAGAAGTGTCTAGGAGACAGAAGATATCTCTGTCCTTAGGGAGTTTATAGTTTAGCTCAGGGGATGGACACATACGTAAATATCAGTGTGAGGTTTGTCTGAAAAAGTATCATGAGAAACCAAGGATGTAGCATTTCACAAATTAGCACTTCATGACTTTCCAAAGGCAAGCCTAAGTCTGGAGGATGTACTTGTGATGACTTTGTGGTTCAGAGAAATAATGGGGTCTAGGTTTCTAATAGATCAACTGGTAGCTATAGAAAAGGAAGATGGCAGAAAATGATAGTGGTCAGCTAGTCAAGATCTAGGACTCTCTGCGCCACGAACTAGAGTAAGAAACATTCTCCTTGAGGAGCAGTAAAGCATTGTGGTTAGGGTGCAGTTGTTACAACCAGGCTACCCAGGTTTGAATGTTGGCTCTACTATTTATTAGCTCTAAATTTATTAGGATTTGGATAAGCTACTTCCCTTTGCCTGCTCACATCTGTAAAATGGGTATGGTAGGAGTTGACCGCACTGGGTTATTGGGAGGAGTTAATGAGCTTACCCACATAATGTGCTTAGAATCTTGCCCGATACTTAGTAAGAGGCCCACAAACATTATCTGTCACCATCAGGTTGTCTGTTAATCTCCTATGCCTTTAGCTGCTATTGTGCCTGCTTCAGCTTTAAAAACTACAACATAAAATTATTTTGGTGAGTTACATGACACCTACAGGCTTTCTGATATATTTTCTACTTTCTTTTTTTTGTACCTAAAAAAAATAGTTTCCCAGAAATGCTAAAAAGAGCTCTTAGCAAGAAAAATTTGCATATGAGCTAAAGAAGCAGAAAATTACAAAATAATATTTAATTAAAATTTGTGACCAGAGATGGGAAAGAGGAGGGAAAGGCAATTTTGATTAGGGAGTCAGGAATAGTTTTCTGAAACCTGATGTAGATGGGGTCTGGACCGTGCAGTGGACTCCCACTCAGAATGAAATTTTGGGAGCCACTGGCATCTGGATGATGTTTAAAGCCACAAAAAGTGGATTCATCTCAGGAGGAAATGCAATTTAAAAAAGGGTTAAAAATAAAAAACAACACCTGAGACTCAGAACATGTGTAAGTTGGACAGAGGAGAATGTTGGTCAAAGAATGATGAGAATGACAAATGGTTGGGGAGGGATGAGGACATCCAGGAGAGGGTGGTGTATGGAGATGCAGGACATCCTGACAGGCAATGCATGGGGATGATGTCTGCATCCAAGCACTGAGGAGGCTGAGAGGTTCCATTCCACTTTCCTAGATGGAGGTCCCCAGTGGCTGTGGCAAGATTTGCTTCAGAGGAAAGGTGAGCACAGGAGTGAGATAGGATGGATTGAAAACGGAAGAGAGTAAAGATAGTATGAATAGCAAATGTTTTCCTGGTGTTTGGCTGTGAAAGGAAACAGAGATAAAATGATAGCTGGATGAGGACTTGGGGTCATAGAATTTTTATGTGTTCAAGACTGAGCATATCTGAGGGCAGAGAACCCCTACAGAGGGGTTAAGTAAAATATCCTTATGTTGTATGAACATTCATGTTTGCTTCCTTCTATATCCTGGTTCCAGTTCAGAGGACAAGGAATGTGGTCAAGATTCTGCTGTGGAAAATAAGATGGAAAATGCTTTATGGTGCTGTCCTGAGTTAACTGCACTGGTGGAGGGCTCAACAGATGCTTGAGGTGGGGAGTTCTCGGGGATGGCTGATCAGATCCCAAGAGGCTTGAGGAAATGGATCTATGTACTGAAACATCCAGCAATAGATCATCTGCTTAGAAACTGTTTTACCACCTAGTGAAACGTCTGCAAAGGATAGAAATCTCTTTTACTGGGTCAGAAATGCTAAATCTCAAAGGGACACAGAATTATTTTTCCTTTCATCTGCAGGGACACAGAATTATTGTAATGAGACTGTCCATTACTCCACTGGGCATTGTCTCTAGATCTCACACAGAGTTCTGCTGTTTTTCAAATAATGACTAATAAATGCAATTCCATATAAAATCACAATTGCTTTCAAAATAGCTTTTTGTCACTTTTTTCTTACTCATTGTATGCCAAAACAAAAATTATTTTCATAAGGAGACTGCAATGTTTTCCTTTTAATATAAAAATATTTTTTATTTAAAAATATACTCCATACTTCTGCAATCATGGGTTACAAACTTCACTAATTTCTACTTTGCTAGAAGAATTTCCAACTCATAGCTAGATTGTAAAAAGAAAAGTATACATTGGAATGCCTTGATTGATTATATCCTATTCTAAGGACTTTTCTTATGGAAGTACTCATATAGGTACACAGATATAATATATAGGAATTGTAATTACAGTAGAATTTAAATAATAAAACATAGAATAGAAATGCAAATGCATATCAGCTGAGGATTATACAGACTATAATAAATCTATGTAATGCCAGCCTTTAAATAATGACATAAATCTACATGCACTGTGACAGGAAAATGTCTAAGATGCGTTGTATATGAAGAAGCAAGTTGCGGAATGGTATACATATACGATTCCTTATCCATGTTGATACCTGCAGGTCTGATTCAGTCATTTTAACTGTGGTACAGAAATCCACTGTAAGCCTATACCAAGATGAGTTTGCTCTGCTACTGGGTTATTTCTAGTGACTTACTTTTTTTTTTTCTTTTTCAATCAAGGTCTCACTCTGTCATCCAGGCTGGAGTGCAGTGGTGCAATAGCTCACTGCAGCCTCAAAGTCTTGGGCTCAAGCGATTGATTCTCTTTCTTCAGCCTTCTGAGTAGTTGGGAATACATGCATGTACTACTATACCCAGCTAATTAAAAAAATGTTTTTTTACAGACTAGTCTCAAACTCCTGGTTTCAAGCTATCCTCTCACCTTCGCTTCCCGAAGTGCTGAGATTACAGGCATGAGCCACCATGCCCAGTGTCTCTTACTTTTGAGTGATGCTATGTATATCTTTGCACATGTTTCCATGTACATATGCACACATAGATCCTTAAAGTATATCTTGTAACTGAATCAGAATTGCTGGGTCTAAACTGTTGACCCTCTTCAACAGTTTACGAGTTAGGGCCAAGCTGCTCTCTAAAGTGGTAGCTGTAGCAATTTTCCCTTACATCTGCAGAAGATGAGAGTGACCATTTCCCTATATCCTCATTCACATTATTGGACTTCAAATACTATGTTAATATGATATATGTATTTCATTGTTTTATTTGGCATAATTTCACATGCATTCATTGTATTCATAAAAAGTATCTGGAAAAATAAACTCTTAACAAGTACACATCTAACAGGGGGAAAATAAGTAGTTACATTTAACAAACTTTACTCACCGAATTTCAGATTTATAGTCATTGATGGTTTTTTGGATGGTATCAAGAGACTGATGAGGTTTCTCTGGATCAAGTCCAGTCTGAACAGCATATCTTAGAGCTTGGAGCTTAAAAAGATATGGATACAAGTTTTAAATTACAAACTCTATTCCCTACTGCTGCGCAACTGGACCCACCCACTTCTGCTGGGCAAAATGGTGCCAGCAGTCTGTGAACAGATGTTCAAGCATCCATCTGTCTCCAGACTTTCACATACATGAATTATGATGGAGAACTGTTTCATCTGTTCTTGAAGAAACCGGACTAGTAAAGAGTAGTGTATGTCCGTCCTTGTTCCATGGCCCAGATAATCAATGACAAATATTATTTTTATGTGTGTATCTGAGAACCAAGTTTTCTTCCAAAGCTAATAGCAGGTTTGTCTGGGTCCTGGATCTACAATGGTATTCTTGTGATATAAAGAAACTATAAAATTACAGACTTGTAAAAGGAGACATTGTGAAGTCATCTCTTCTTTGGGCAGTAAGTTTTAAAGTTAGGGCATGAGACTAAAATTGCCTCTAGTCAAAATTACCCACAAAAATCCCATGGGATAGTGTCACACTGAGAATAAATCCAAATGCATAGCCTTTCCCTCGAGCATCAGTTGGAACTGACTTGTGTTTAGGTGCCAAACTATGGGATAATAAATATAAGGATGAGAATGTTTCTAAGGACAGAAATTCTGAAGCCACCAATGGTGTCGGGTTCTAAATCACATAAGCAAGTAATAGCCACATATTTTCCATTTAACACCCACTTCTGGTGGGTGCTGTACTGTTTACAGAAATTCTTCTGTTTAGGGCAAATGTTTGCCAATAAATTTGTACACATTACATGTATACAAACCCTATCTTTCCTTTTGTCTCCAGCTGGATAATGTATCACACATCCTAGACAGAGGAAGCATTGAAAGAGGGGGATGAACATTTTGTTGTTAAAAATTTTCATTGTTTGGGCTCATTGCAAGAATCAACTCCAACAACAGTCATCATGGAAGAAATCACATATACCTTATCAGTAAGAAACTTTGCCTTGTTTCTCTGGTGTCTTGCAAGGTACTGGTCATATAACTGGGCCAGCTTGGCTGCCAAAACATGCTCTCGGCTAAAACAGGGATGATGAGTGAAGAGTAACCCTGAAATATCAATGTCCAGTTGGAAATTTCCAGGAGGGTCTCCAGATCTGATCATATGCTGATTACTGTGAACATATTTTACTGCCTGCCAAGGAGAGCAGAGTGTAGACATAACACAGTTAAAGCACTTACTAGATAATGATGATGTAATCCACAATGAGAAAACAGTTAGATGCAAAATACTTCCTATCCTGGACAAGTCAGGTGAAAAATGTTTGATTACCTATTTCCAGGTTTTAAAGTCCAGCTCGTTTTTGAATATTGAACAGCAAAACGGAAGACTGGGAGTTAGAAACCATTTCAATCTAGCTTTCCTTAGTCTTTTAGGTTTTATTACTCACCCACATTGTAATTCTACGTTTTCATGCAGACTATCTTGTTTCTTGGAATCCTCGGTTTTGTAGCTGGTGATCTTGAAATTCTTTTAATGGCAGGAGCATATTCTAGCTCAAACTGATCATTATTTGGATCACAGACATACCCCCATATATTTAAATTTTAAAATGTGGAGAAAGCTTCATTTGTAGACAGCAGCAAGAGACATTTACCTAACTGAGCATCATGCTGGCATTCAGTCTTCCTGGGGAGGAGGGATGTTGGTTTGCAAAATAAGAGTTGGGGCTGTGCAGCTCAACCAAGTGTGTAGAAAACAGAAACAGAAGTCTCCAATAGGAAGTTCTTGGACTGTTTGGTATATAATGTATCAGATACATCTCTTTGCTTTCCTTCCATAAAATCTTCACGATATTTACTTTGATTACTAGTTACTGTGGGTGCAGAGCTCAAAGGTGAAGAGGAGACATCTTTGGTTTTGTGTCTTTATTTGTTCTCATTATGAAGACTGACTACAGTAAGGATATAGTGGTTGAGACATCACTTGATCCTTCTTTTTTGCAGAGATGAACTATTTATTTTATCTAGAAAATAACAGCGTATGATAATGTGGCATAATAAATTATGTACAAATCATGAGCTTAAAAGAAAACTGTAAAAACTCTAATCAGAATGGAAGCTTTTATCCTTCCTAAATTGTGGGTAACATGTTCAGCAAAGTCTTCGTTTAATTCTTTCACACGGTATTATGTAAGGATGCTAGATCTGGGCTAGAAGACTTGGATTCTAGGCCTGGCTCTATCTTGAACTTGCTCTGAGACCTTGGGTAAGTCACTATACATCTCCATGCCTCTATTTTTTCATATATAGAAACAGGAGGCTACGGAAAAAGATTAACTTAGCATTTTGTAGATCACTAGGTTTCATATCAAATATTTCACATGCATCATCTCGTTTACTCAACAAAGATTAATGGATGCCTACAATGTGGTAGAGCCTGTCTTCAAGCAACAATCAACTTAGAAGGGAAGACAGCCCTAGGATCTAAAAGCATGAAGTCTGGGATGTGCAGAGGAAGGTAGGGAAACCCAGCCTGGAAGACGAGATTCCAGCATTAGAGTCCTGTGATTATAAGATTTGAACAGACAGTTTTATTTTAAAAATGCCCTTATAAAACTGGGATGTGTGTACAAATATTCTGGGCTTGAATCAGGATGAATTAACGATATTGCAGTATATTCTGGAATATGCTGTATTTTCCAAATCTGCATTAGCCCACATTCCAATAATTGCTGGTGGTCTCTGCTTTTTGCTTAGCCCAACCAAGTATAAAAAGCTTCCAGGACTCCTTGCAGCCACTGGCCAGACTCTTCATAAGACCACAACTCCCATACTTTCAGAGAGAAAGACCTCTAATTCCTTGTCTCTTTATCTGTTTCCTTTCTTACCTATTAGGAACTATTATGAACACAGTAGCAATAATTTCCTTCAAGAATCTTCACTTACATTTATAGGAGGAAAAACCACCGAGACTTGGATCAGCTTCCACTAATTCTTTTGCATGTTATGAAAGCCCTGGGTGGCCTTTCAGAGATCAGATCTGGCCATTAATATCCCTACACTTCAGACTACAACAATGGAGGGCCATTTTCTTCTCTTTCATTCAGGTAAAAGTATTCAATTATAAACCGCATTAGTATTAGAAGTTTTTAATCTCCATGTGACCACTCTGTGTTTTATAACCCAGATTACCTAGATTAATTAAAAATTTCCACCTCACGAATACACGTAAAACTAGACTTCAATCCACAGACATAATGGAACATTCCTCTCTAATTGCCTTGCAGCTGCTCATTCTTGCCTTGCCTTAACTCTTGCCTGTGGGATTCCAGAGTTATGAGATCACTCAGGTGTGGCTCTCAGGTTCCATCTTGTCCTCTTCTTGGTATGAGTAAATAACATGGGTAGAGCGGTTTTATTTATTTGTAATGTAAGGTAGGTCACCTATACTTTACACCTCCTTCCACAAATCTGCATTAGCTTAAGTTCCAAAACCTGCTAGTGGTCTCTGCCTTAGGCTCAGCTCAACCAAGTATAAAAGTGTTTCAGGACACCTGGTAGTGACTGTAAACCGATCAAAAGACTCCAACTCTCCTCCTATTGGGGAGGAAGACACCTAGCTTCTTGTCTTTCTTTTTGTTGCATCTGTTTTCCTTTCTTATATATTGACAGCTATCATAAACACAGTAGCAACAGTTACTCCAAAGAAGGGATGATATTTAGAGTATATTTTAACTTTAAAATTGATTTAATATTTTAGTTTTCAATTGAAAACTGAAAATCAAAACTCTAAGAAAATGATTATGTATTACCTGTGGAAGTTCACAGAGAACAACTATTTCTTTTTTGGTATGCATGTGCAGAGATGCATACCAAAAAAGAAAAAAATTGAAAATTGTACAGAAGCCTTGGGGAGGTGGCTCACACTTGTAATCCCAGAACTTTGGGAAGCCGAGGTGGGTAGATCATGAGGTCAGGCGTTCAAGACCATCCTGGCCAAGATAGTGAAACCCCATCTCTACTAAAAATACAAAAATTAGCCAGGCGTGGTAGCAGGTGCCTGTTTTCCCAGATACTCAGTAGGCTGAGGTAGAGAACTGCTTGAACCCAGGAGGCAGAAGTTGTAGTGAGCCGAGTTCTCACTACTGCACTCCAGCCTGGGCGACCAAGCGAGACTCCATCTCAAAAAAAAAAAAAATTGTACAGAAAAGTAATAATCAGTGATAAGTTTTGGTAAGTTTAAAATACAAGTTTCTACATTTGCCCCGAGAAAATAATAGCAATAAAGCCTGGGTCCACCCCAGAGCCTGTAGTAAATTCTAGAATTATGATTATGGTCTTCCCTGGGAAGCTTTCTCATTTCCCATCTTCTGGAAACATACCATTGTTTCCTGGACATGAGGTTAATGGATAATGATCCACTTGCGACTGACTAGAGTTCATTTTTTGGTATTGATAATGTGAACTGTGGGGAAAAATATGATTCTTTCCTTCTGGAGTTGTTAAGCTTAGTCTATCAAGGGACACATCTCCTAATATGTAGAGAATTCTTTCCTGTCTGCAATTGCAGAGAATGAAGCCCACCAGTATTCAAGAATAACCAGAGAAAACAGAGGTGGAAGAGAGGCCTGCTGGCATCAAAACCCTGGACCTGGCCCCTGAGGCCTTGTTTCCTAAAGGTCCTCCTTCATTTTATGATTTGTTCCCAGATCCTTTACAGTTTTGTAACCACTAAGTTCCCTCTTTGGTTAAGCTAGTTTGTGATGGGTTTCTATCATATGCAACCGAAAGAGTCCTGGGTGGTACAGTGCTTAGAACGCAGCAGATCAATGATGCTTTGGTGAAAAACTGGTAAGAATAATGATGGGAAAGTGACAATTTTATCTAGTGGTACCTCTGTAGGAGCTTGGAATCATGACACATTCCTCTAATGGGTATGCAGTTCTGAAAAGGGGAGGCTCCTACACATTGCAGGGCCTTTAACACCTGCTTCCACTTCTGTCTTTCCAGTCAAGGCAGTAAGTCTCTCTATGGCCAAGATAAGGTTGCTCCCTCTGTATTCCCAGAATTTAGCACAAGTAAGAATATATTAGGCTTTCAGTTAATGATGGAAGTAACAAAAAGGAAGGGAGGAAGGAAGGAAGGAAGGAAGGAAGGAAGGAAGGAAGGAAGGAAGGAAGGAAGGAAGGAAGGAAGGGAGGAAGAAAGGAGGGAAGGGGGAATGCTTGTATTCATTTTCAACAAGTTTTTTTTTTTTTTTAAAGACAGTTTTGCTCTTGTTGCCCAAGCTGGAGTGCAATGTCACGTTCTCTGCTCACTGCAATGTCTGCTTCCCAGTTTCAAGCAACTCTCCTGCCTCAGCGTCCCGAGTAGCTGAGATTACACCACACCCAGCTAATTTTTATATTTTTAGTAGAGACAAGGTTTTACCATGTTGGCCAAGCTGGTCTTGAACTCCTGACCTCAGGTGATCTGCCCACCTCGGCTTCCCAAAGTGTTGGGATTACAAGTGTGAGCCAGCATGCCTGGCCTGCCTTTCAACAACTTTAACCCTACTTTGCTATCACAATTAGGCAAACTGCATTTTATAGTTTATGTTTTACCTGCAAGGTCCTATCTAGCATTTTAATTTTTTACTTTTGGATTAGTTACTTCTTAAGATGTATTAAATTGTATTCTTTCTTATTTGAGATTTAACAGTTTTCTTAGCATGACAGCTAATTCCTTTTTGCATTTTTCTATCTTTTTTTTTTTTTTTTGAGACAGAGTTTCGCTCTTGTTACCCAGGCTGGAGTGCAATGGCGCAATCTCGGCTCACTGCAACCTCCGCCTCCTGGGTTCAGGCAATTCTCCTGCCTCAGTCTCTTGAGTAGCTGGGATTACAGGCACGTGACACCATGCCCAGCTAATTTTTTTGCATTTTTAGTAGAGACGGGGTTTCACCATGTTGACCAGGATGGTCTCGATCTCTCAACCTCGGGATCCACCTGCCTCAGCCTCCCAAAGTGCTGGGATTACAGGCATAAGCCACCGTGCCCGGCGCATTTTTCAATCTTTAATGGTCTCATATCAATTTAAGAACATCCTAATATACTAGGAACAGAATATTTCACTCTTAAAAACTACTTTTTACCCCCTCTGTAATTTAAAAAAATGTTCAAAAAAGCAGGGCTGAATACCAACTCTCTTCTA